TTTGTTCATGCGACATTCCACAAAAGATCGAGTCCAGACACCAAGTCGTAATTATTGCCAACATCTTGCATTGCAATTAAATTCTCAACAACAACAACTTCTTTAATAAACGTCATTTTTATGGGCATTGTTTAAGCATCTCTTTTCATCTTCAATAATCCTAGAATTCGGATAATAGGCGGGTCATCAAGAAACAATAAACTTATGATACAGACATTTACGTGTGATTGCTGCATGTCGTAAAGGGGGATTAAAAGAGACAAAGAGAGGCTTGGATCGTCCTCAGAATGAAACACAAACGAGTCTTGTTTATGCGATTCGTTCCTTATGATAAGCTTTATTACCTCCGCAAGGTTACGGTTTCGTTTGCGTTTGTTGGTTCGTGCGTGTGTGAAAGTGCTTGTGACAGCTGGATTGCAAAAATGTACAGACAAATAGAGATGGTGTTCTATAGGTGGGTTCTCCATGGGTCAGGGAGACTGGTAGGATACATTTCGGTGGTGATTGAGGTGGCCTTACGCATTCTTCAACAGCACGAAGTCCCATGCGAAATGAATCTGCTGTTAAAAAGGAAACATTATTTTTAATGTGATATTTTGAAATGCTTTTTTTCTTTCGACATTCTCACTCTTTCATTGTCATTTTCTTTATGCATATACATGGGTTTACAGGCGTTAGTGGAGGTTCATGCTCTTGAACTGTTTTTCGTCTGAATTTCATTTATCTAGTTAATTGTGCATTGACTGCGGTCCGTATTTATATATTTTGAGACTTGGGAGGATACTTTTTAAACTAATCCTTGAAAGTCCTACCGATCTTAGATTTTTACTCTGGCGAATCTTGAGCCAAAATATACAGACAAAAACATTCTGTACCAATTAGACGCTTTACACAGTTAATTAGAACCAGATATACTTTATTGCATCTAAACAATAAAAAAGAAAAGACAAGAAAGACACAAGCGCCGCCAGAACGGGACGCAAAGATAAACACACAGACAGACACAACGGCTCTGGGAAAGTTCTCGGCGCTGCTCCACCTGACCCACTTCTAGATCCCCCCCCCCCACTACCTCCGCCCTACCCCACCCAGGCTGTGCCGTCGAAGACCTGCCGGTAAAATTCCTCTTGTAAACTTCGTCGTCGTCCTCCTTTCTTCCTCTTCTGCACCATTGGCTATCAAGTTCATTTTGACAAGTTTTTTTTTTTGTCCCAGCACTGGTGACACGCGTATTTGTACTATTTCGTCAGTGATGTCCGCCATATGTTAATGTTCAAATTGTCTGCCATCAAAATACCAAACAACGTCGCGGTTGTTCAGGAGGATGGCTTCGTCTCGCGAAGGGTTGTTTCGCCATTTGTCAGTGCTTCGACTATGACATTGTTGGAATATCTAGAGATGCACGAGCTGGATTTAATCCAGGACCTATTCTTAGCACCTATATATTCAGAGCCAACTCATAATTATTATAGTGTGCATAATACATAACATGTGTCATGCGTATTCTTATGTTATCAACTGACGGAGACTCCATTTGCCAAATATTTATTGCATACATGCTAGTTTTAGTGATTGATGGGGCTGTGGAAGTGCTTGTGACAGATGGACTCGCGATGGCTGCAACCTGCCCTTCCACTCTTCAAATAGTATCTCTGTGTTACGTGGCCATCTGCATGCATGAGTTTCTCGTTTGTACGCACTGGTCTGCTTACATATTGTCATGAGATAGAATGCCAGTTCCTTCTATACTCTTCGGTTGTGACTTTCGCCATCGGGATTCGTCTGTTTGAAGGGAGGCAAATGCTAAAATCTGTAGTTTATTTTTATTTGAACTCTTTCGTGGATAAAAAGTAAAGGGGTTGGGGCTGACCGTAGAGTTTTAGCTCGCTGTTTGCTAACTTTGTTTGTGAAATCGCTTTTACAGGGAACACACGAAAAAACCGAACTGTATTTTTTCAAAGACTAACATCTCTTTATTTGATTGATATTAAGAAGTATAGGCTGCTGTTAGAAATAAGACTATTAGTTTGATTAATTCATTTTGTGCAGCATCAAGTGCGTGATTGTAAAAAGTCCTGATGATAAATATGCAGTCTCGTATTTACTTTGGAAAAAAATTGTATATAGTTTGCAATGTGAAAACTGGCAAACGTACAGACAATATGTAACATTGGGTTTATGAAGGATAATTAAATGCCCTTCATACTGTAAAAAAAGCCATTGTGAATATCTGCGTTTCATGACCTCAGTGAAATATTCATTAGAACCACAAGGGTGTTCATCAGCACCACTTGTTGGTATGCCTTAAGCTGTGCCTCAGATACCCCTTCGCCGACCCAGGTCATCTCTAAATTGCTGACCCGCGAAGAGGAGGACAAAGAGAAAACGAAGAAAAAAAAGGCAGTGAATTCGCGTTTTAGTGACACTGATATCTTCGTACCGCCAAGCGTCCTTCTCGCCTCAAGTGACCCCACAAAGATCCGGGACCCCAACGCGCAAG